TGAGAGTCTAACTGATAGGAGGGGCCCCAGAGAAGGTGACGGGAAGAGAATGTTAGACAAACAACCTTTTATGTAGGCCTTTTCCTTACAGACTGTGTGTCTGTCCTGTCTTACAGGGCTCACTCTTATAGGCGGAGTTGGCTCATCCAGTGACTTCAGACTGATGGGAAGCATGGCCCAATGAGCTTTTAGGGAATTGCTATTCAAGTATAACCAGTGGCAACTGGTAATAAAGTGGCAACTGGTAATAAAGTCTATCTTTGAAAGTTACTTTTAGCTCTAAGGGACCTGAAAACAACCGAATTTGGACTAAGCTATCAAAAGAAGTTGTCGTAACAAATATATGTAAAATAAATATATTTTATAATCATTTGTGGCTCCAAGATTTCTAAAGATGTTGTGCCTTCTGGTTGTTGTGTGAAAAGCAGCAGCATTGTTTATTTTGTCTCCTTTCTACATAAGCACCCAGCCCCCATCTAACGCATTCTGTAGGTAAAATGAGTCATAATAGTAAAATAAGAGAAACCTGCTTAAACTGAGCTTTTCATTATGAAATGAATGGTGCCAATCTTGGTTTGGCTGCTGGAAAGGGTAATATTATTAGAAGCTCTTGATAAGGTGTGACAAACGAGAACAGAAGAGGTTTTCTACTGTTTCTGAGTAGTGTCAGGCAGGACTGTCATGGTTTTCTGAATTTCTGTTGCCCAAGACTCTGAGGGTGAAGAATCTGTGTTATTGACCTTCACACCACTTGGACATAATGTAAGGATTTTGGAGCCATCACAGAATTAGACACTGTTTAGTCTAACCCCATCCTACAACTGGGGAAACTGAAAGCCAGGGAAATGAGAAATGTTGGCGTCATGATTTGTTCTGGCAGAAAGGAGGATTTGAATCTGACTTCCTGACTTCTAGATCCCACCGTTTAACAATTTCACTCTCTCTCTCTCTCTCTCTCTCTGTCTCTCTCTCTCTCTCTCTCTCATTCCATTTGTCTGGGATGCTTCTGATTTATGGGCTTCATAATAATGTCCTAGGTCTTTGTCCTATGTGTCCCAGAACAGAAGAAATACTGTTGACCTAATTATATAACATCCCCTCCCTTCCCATAACTAATAAGGGAAGAGAGTAGAAATACAGGTTTTCCTGGATGTACGTAGTAATCTGATTACTGCTCTGCTCAAGGCCTGACAGAATTTCAGAACACAATACATTATAGAAATAACAAGTACTCACAAAGTAAAGGGTTTGAATCACTGTGATCAACCTTTCCAGGACTGGAAAGGGAAGCTGACACTGGCTTCCTAGCTTCTGGCACTGCCATGTGACTGCTAGCAAGGAAGGTGAGATTTCAAGTAATGCCTCACAAAGGGTATCTGTGGGGGAGCTTTGCTAGATTAAATAAGACACATGTGTTTTGTGATATAAATTCCACTGTGAAATGATCAATGTGTGAACTGGTTAAGTTGGTGGCTGGGATCAGGTGAATGGTGGGCTGGGGGTTGAGTGAAGCCCCCTTTTTGCATTTCACTTTCCAGGCCTCACTGCGCCAGGCAGCTCAGCAGCTGACTTGGGCACTCTCTGCTGGCCCCATTCTCTTCCTATCCTCTCTTTCATATTCAGGCTGAGCATCCCTAATCCAAAACTGGAAATCCAAAGTGCTCCAGAGTCTGAAAACTTTTGAATGCTGACCTGATGCCATGAGTAGAAAATTCCACACCTGACCTCATGTGACAGGTTGCAGCCAAAATGCAGGACATTGGTAAATTGTGTAAAATCAAAACTTTAAAAATATTTAAAAGATTGTATAAAACTACCTTCAGGCTATGTGTATAAGGTGTATATGAAACACAGATGAATTTTCTGTTTAGACTTGTTGTTAGAGTCTGTAAACAAGTCAGGATGGTGCCTGGCAAAATGCCAGAGGGAGTGGTTTGTGAAGTGATGCCAGCGAGCTATTAAGTGTGGAGATTCCTTATTGGTTGACTGCTGTATCTAGTTTATGTTAATTAAGATAAGCTGTGTGGAATGTATAAATATCGCTCCGGTCCTACAATAAACGGCTCCCACTCCTGCTGTATCAACGTACACAAGCTGTTCGTAACCCCCAGGTTATTTTGCTGCAGCCAGACTGCGGCAACTTGTGTCCCATCCCAAAATATCTCACTATGTATATTACAAAATCGGAAATTTGAAATACTTGTGGTCCTAAGCATTTTGGATAAGGCATATTCAACTTTGTGTGTGTGTGTGTGTGTGTGTGTGTGTGTGTGTGTGTGTGTCAGAGGCACGTCAATAATAACATAAA